CATGTGCTGATACGAAGCTCAATAACATCCTGGGCTTGGCCGTTGTCCTGGCCACTTTTGGGTTGGACTCACTGCTCATTGTGGTCTCTTACATACTGATTCTTTACACAGTGCTGGGCATTGCTTCTGGGGAGGGACGGTGGAAGGCTCTCAACACATGTGTGTCACACATCTGTGCGGTGCTTGTGTATTACGTGCCTATGATTGGTGTGTCTGTGATGCATCGCGCTGCTAAACATGCCTCACCCCTGGTCCACACACTCATGTCTAGCATCTACCTCTTCGTGCCTCCTGTGCTCAACCCCATTATCTATAGTGTCAAGACTAAGTCAATTCGACAGGGAATTGCCAGCCTGTTTTCTTGCAAGAGAGAATTGCTCTGAATCACTCCAAGGAGGCAGGGACTTTGAACCAGTTCATAAACTCTGATGGTGGTTCTACTATAGACAAAGCTCTACATCAGGCATTTTGAGGAAGAATAGAAACAAGGAATTCAGTGTTGACAAGGTTGAATCTGAATTATATGAGATATCCCTAACTCTTCCCATCTCATTTCTTACCAAAGCACATGTATCTCTGTAAGTGCACATATGTATGTCATCTCTAACAGATATGATAAGCTTGAGAACAGAGATCACATGATTCTTTTTCCTTTTCTTCTTAGAAGTCCTAGCAAAAAGCCTAGCAAATAGTTAACAGCAGAGGCTTTACATTTAATGATGTTTGAAATGAAAAAATACAAAGATCTGTTTTAGTGAACTAGGCAGGGATTAAACATCTCTCCCAATAAAAAATCATTCCAAGAACATGTCTTTGATTAACTTTAGGTGAACATACTTTTTGGTTTGCTTCAGATAGTCATGGTTTATACTTATTTTCCTCAGCATCATTATTAACAGCACTCCCTTTTCCTCTCAAATTGTCCTTGTTTAAATAATATTGGAAAAATACCTATGAGGCAACTGCTTTCCTTTTTATGAAAAGTAACCAGACTATCCCTATGATCCACTATACAATGGTCTCCATCCCCAGAATTTATGTATCAGGGGACTCTGAGAATGAAGAATAGGTGGCCTCAATTTAGGCAAAAAATAAAATATGGATAGCCTCACAAGGCCCAGGTTTAAGATCTTAGGAATCTCAGCAAAAGAACCAAATTGTGCTTTAATAGAACCTCATGCCCTATTTTTAGGGCCAAAACGCTCTGATTTCTCTGTGTCTGGGTATTCCTGTTTCTCTTCCCCCCTGTCCCTCAAGGCTTCAGTAATCTCATCATTCCATGTGGCTGGTATATTTTTATCTGTTCCTTCACTTCTCCTCTAGCTCTGCCAGCATAGGTCTCATTGACATTGCTTGTTTCTGCATATGGCTACCTCTGGTTTTTTGAAGACCTTTGGTCAAAAAGGAAAGACCTTCTTTACACCTCTTAAGCAACACAGGTCTATGTAAAATGAACTGGTAGGATTTTGCTGGTTGATCAGTAACTGGATTCAGGTTTTCAGCTTCTCCCACTCCAGGTCCCCCAATGACCATGTAAATATTTTTCTCACCATATTATATTCTTCCTAACCTCATCCAGCTCATCAGGGGCAGCTTTAAGTAGTGGTGTATTTTTCTTGTTGGTGGTGGTGTTTTTTTTTGTTATCGTTTGTTTGTTTGTTTGTTGACAATAGTGGTTGCCAAATTTGTATGTACTTTCAAAAATAATTAATTGGAGGGGGGGACCCTATGTATCTTCTCATGCATTTTTAGGCTGACATATACATTTTTTATTATAAATTTACCTAGTGGTTGAGCATGCATTTTGGGATATATAGTAAATATAGTCAATTTAAAATAAATTGTTATATTACATATTTAAATATCCAATGGAATCTAAATACATTATGCTTTGATACCTGACAACATAAATTATAAAATACAAATAACACATTCATTAACATTCATATATTTTACATTTGTCCCTTTGCTCCTTAAAATTAAATTTTTATTTTACTTCCACTGAATAGTTTTGACCATATCATGTATTTTTATATTGAAACTATTTTAACAATCTATCATAATTATTTGCAAAAAGAAAATATATATATATATAAATTTGATGTTTAAAAATTGGTAGCCTATAAAGAATTGTTTAAAAAGTGTATGTTGTATTGAATTACTTTCCCAATACTGATTAGGACATAACAAATATAACATAAGCATAATGTATCTTTTAATATATTAAAAGTAAAATTTAATTGGAAACCTATCTCTTAATGGAATGACAGTTTTTTATCTAAAAATGAATATTAATTATTAAATGAATGAGAAACAGTCAGCAATATTTTCTATTAATTTTCTTTCTTTTACATTAATGTAACAACATAAATAAATTTGATAACATAAATAAGATGTTATTAGAATCATTTCATCATAGGTCAATGCCATTTTTAAATATTTTTGAAATAACAAGAACCATGTATTTTAATGACCTAATAAGTGATAACTCCATGGGATCCCTCTTTATCTTTTGTTGAAAACAATAAAATTGATATTATTTCTTACACTAGAGTACATTACCCAGTGTTAGGTATCATTCACTTTATCAAACTTTCACCAATATTTTCAGGAGTCCCTGTGTTTGGTGTCTCAGAAAGTTTTATTCATTGTGGTGTATCAGAAATATTCCAGATGCCTTTGAGAACTATGCCTAGCCTTTTTTCTTATAAATGAAATTTACTTTTTTTTTTTTTTGTAAAGTGAGTAAATAAGATTTTGTAAAGGAAGAAACAAATGATGTTACAGAGACACATTGGAAAAAAGTACATACACTCTTGAAAAAGCAATTTAAGCAAAGAAACTTTATGGTCATTTAATATCTAAATATTAATTCCCTTAAAATTTTGTGCTCAGGCACTTCTAGGTATATTCTCATTTCCCTAGGGGAACACATAATAGTATGAAGACCACTAGATTAGATACTCACTAGTGGCAGTTTCTATAAAACCAATGTGATTGTTCTGGAAAAACTCTGACAAAGTCTCATTGTCAAATATCAGGGAAATAATTTATTCTGGAGTGGAACCTGAAAACGTGGACGTAGCTAGGAATGTCTTTCACTGTAGAGTGATTAACTACTTTCTTCACTTATTTACTTCACTTATTTTTGAGCACCTATTATATCTAAAGGGTAGATATACTAATATTTTATATTTAAATGCAAAATGTAGAATAAATCTAAAAACTTAACAATAAATGTTCCAGTTATTTCTTGGGCCTGGTCTAATATTTCCTTCTAGGTTTTAAATGTCATGAACCGATGGATATACCATGTAAGTCACAAGTCAGCCTATGAACCTGGAGGTTCGCAATTGGATTCAAGGTCAGGGCACATGCCCAAGTTGTGGGCTCAATCTCCAGTAGGGGGCATGTAGGAGGCAGCCAATCGATGATTCTCTGTCATCATTGATATTTCTATGTCTCTCTCCATTTCTCTTCCTCTGTAAAATTAATAAAAATATATTTTTAAGAAATTTGTGCATTGTCTGCAGGTAATGATCTGTGACAATAAAATTCAATTGATAGATAGCTCTGAAGAAGAGATTATTATTGATATCATATGCTCCTTCTAAAAAAACTGGCATAATCCCAAGATGTATTTTTCACCTTATGTTGTTTTGGGACATTATCAAGCCTGTAGCATCCATTGAAAAATTAAAAAAAAAAAGTCTCATTTGATACATTTCCTTGACTTTTCTTGACATTAGATTTCTTGGTCCTAATTTCTCATATTCTGACATTACATATGCTTTTGATTCTATAATTTATTTACCTATACCAGCTGATTCATTGTTTTCAAAAGAAACATGCTGATTCTAGGCTCTGGAAAAAAACATGGAACAGAGAGGTGGAGAGAGGAAAGGATATTAGAGAAGGAAGAGATCCCCTCTTCACTTATTCTCTGCCTTTAACCTCTTAATCCATTATGCTTCCATGAAAGACCTGCATATTTTTATTCAAATATAAGTTAGTCCTATTGGCCACCCATGAATTCAGTAATGGGTAGTTGTGACCATTACTGTGGCTGCCTTTCAAACGGATATTTCTGAGAGAGTTAACCTGGTTTCAACAAAAATTTTATAGTCAATAAGGCCGCATCTCTTTACAAGAGCCTGTTCTAATACAAAATCCATGATGCTCAAGGGAACCTGCCCCTAGGAATTAAGTCTTATTATGGACATTGAGATATTTTTAAAAAATCTGTTTTGTTCAGAAAAATGAGTTTCTATTCCTACAAATATGATCTGTAGACTTAGTAAAAATTCTATACACTAAGGACTTCTAGCAAGGCAGGAATCTTGTTCCAGCTGTGGGGAATCTAAACACCCTGCCCCGATTTAGACTCTGCACGTGGACATTAGGTCTGCTGAAATCATGATGTGTGTTGTTGATTAGGCAAACCTGAATAGCTAAGAAACTTCCTGTGGATCCATTCTCCTTCAAAGATTTCCCAGTCTTTCACAAGAGAAAGTCAAAGCACACCGCTAGTAGGGGGAGCCAGGGCCATGGAGCTAGTGTTTACCTGATCACCTTAAGTGGAGCTAAGAGAACAGGTAGTGGGAGCAACAACAAAATGTTCCCTTCTTACTTATTTAACCAACCCTGTGGGAGAGTAGAATATCTAGGAGGAAAAACAAAAACAAAAACAAAAAACAAACAAAAAACACACAACTTAAACAGATATATATTAAATTGATGAAGCTCATCCCACTGGCATAGTTGATAAAGTGTGTTAGATATGAATCAACTCATATCTGAATCTTTTTTAGATAGAATACTTACTTCCAGGTCTTCCAAGCCTAACATCCATTAAAAGCAAAAATCATGACATACTGCCTTAAAAATAGGGTGGCATTTTATTTCACAGTTTCAGTCTTCATTTAGTATTTTTACTGTACTTTTTCCATAAGCTTACAAATCAAAGTCCTTAGTAATTTAACGCAATAATTCTTTCATCTTTAATGCGTGTTTCTTTGGGAAAGAAGACGCATAATTCCCTGGCGGATTTGCTTAGTCTTTACACTGTAGATGATGGGGTTCATCACAGGAGGCGCCAACAGGTACATATTGGCCATGATAACATGGACCAGTGGAGACGCATGCTTGGCAAAGCGGTGGGTCATAGATACACCAACCATGGGAACATAGAGAACCAGAACAGCCAGAATGTGGGACAAGCAGTTGTTAAGAGCTCGAAATCTCTCAACCAGGGAAGCTACTCCCAGGACACTCTTCAGAATCATTGCATAGGAGAGCACAATGAGCAGAGGGTCCATCACAATAATGAGCAACACCAGAGCAAATCCATACCAGCTGTTGAAGCGGATGTCACCACAGACCAGGCGAATCATGTCCTGGTGGAGGCAGTAGGAATGAGAGAGAAGGTGTGAGTGGCAGAAGGGCAGGCGCTTGAGCAGGAAAAGAGAGGGAAGAACAGCCAGAACACAGCGGCAAATGATGGCTAACCCAATCTTGGTGATGACTTCATTGGTGAGGATGGTGGCATAATGGAGGGGGCGGCAAATGGCCACATAGCGGTCAAAGGACATGGCCAACAACACAGAAGATTCCATAAAGGAGAATGTATGAATGAAAAATACCTGTGCAAAGCAAGCTTCAAAGCTGATCTCACAAATGTTGAACCAGAGGAGCTGCATAACAGTGGGCAGGGTGGTGAGGGTGAGACCCAGGTCAGTCAGGGCCAACATGGAGAGAAATAGGTACATGGGCTGGCGGAGGGATGGCTCCGTGCGGATTACAGTGAGAATAGTAGTGTTGCCCATGATGGAGATGGAGTAGAGACAGCAGAAGGGGATGGAGATCCAGATGTGGGAAGCTTCAAATCCAGGGATGCCCGTGAGGATGAAGTAGAAAGCTTCTTTGGTGGTGTTAGTCACTTCAAACATGACTGAGGAATGTGGCTTCATGTTCAGAGTCTTTGCTCAGAGAGAACACAAATATGATTTCTGTTTTTGCCCTATTTGACCTAACTTTACCCAAATAAAGGTTCAGAATTGCTGGGCAACTAAGGAGAGATAGAAGAACACAATGATTGCTTGTTTTTAGTCCATCTCTGCAGAGATTGCTTTCACACAAACCTTATTCCCTGAAAACTCAACATATTAATTCATGAGAAACACTTTTTTTAATTCTCCTGTTTCTGTTTTACCACTCCTATTTAGTTCTTAGAACCATGGCATCTGCCTTTCATCCAAATCCTGCTACCAATACAATTCTCACAAAGACTTAAAATTAACTCCAAGATGAAAATGTAATGGCCAATATTTGTTTTTAATCCAGAGTCTCCTTTTAAATTTTCTTGGATAACAGCATCCTTGCCTGTTTCCCTTTTTCTGAGGTCATCCCTATTTCTTTATTTATTTCTTATTCATTTCATCATACATTCAAGTCAAATTTACTCTAGGTTAGTGCTAATTTTTGATCTGTCTTCTTATTCTCATTAGTTAATGTCATCTGATGCTGAAGCAAAGGTCAGAGTGTGTAGGAGAGAAGTGAGACTAGAGCCCAGATGAGGACTATCACACTTATTGATTGCTTTCTATGTTTAGTTACTGCCCTAAGTGCATTCCTTGGTATTAACTCTGCATTTTCTAACAGTACTCATCATCCTCTCCTTCTTTATCCTGAACATTCATAGAGAATTCTTACCTGTGATTTCTCCTGCCTGGTGATTGGTACCCTCTTCTTTATATTTAGATTTTGTTTTTCTGTGTTTGACCCACAGGATAGCTAAATTATAAGCTTTTGCAAATCTCTAGGCTAGAAGAAGAGGGATTATGACATGTCCCTTCAGGTTTATAATGAAAAGGGACCTTGAGACTTGTGGTGCACTGGGAAGCCAGGATGTCAGCTCTGTCCCTAAGAGCCTTTTCTGCCCCCAGTATCCTCATTGAGCAGCAAATCAGAATACCACATGGAAGTCCTGTTTTTGTTTTTGTTTTTTAGAATTTTTTAAAATATGGTTTGAAAATACATGCTGATGCTTGAAATGTTTAATCTCTTAAAAATTCAGTTCCAAGAAACTTTCTTCTGTAAACAGTCTGAAGTTGAGGCAGGACTACAAGGGACAGGATAGCTACAGGTAAAAGGAAAGTCATGCACCACTTTCAAGAAGCAATTGCCTTGCAGGAACCTCTGGAAACCACAAAGATCAACTTTTCTAATATATTTATACAATAAGGAAATATTGATAGGTATATCAAAACTAAACTAGAAAGAAAAATTGTTTATTAGTTTTTTGGTGGCTCACTTAATGATTCACACAAAATTATATTACAAGTGGTTAAAGTAATTTAATGTAAATCAATAAAAAAATTTAGAGGAAACAATATAAGCATTTTAATTTTTCATTGAGAAGGACTATCTAAACCAGTGTTTTTCAACCTTTTTTGGGCAAAGGCACACTTGTTTCATGAAAAAAATCATGAGGCACACCACCATTAGAAAATGTTAAAAAATTTAACTCTGTGCCTATATTGACTATATATAAAGTAATTCTCTTGAATAGGAATCAAATAAACACAAAGAAAGTATTTTATAATTACTTTATTATGAAATATTAAGTAAACAAAATAGTGAAAAATTATAAAATTCTTGTCTTGTCTGCACCTACGGCACACCAGGCAACATCACTAGTGTGCCGCGGAACAGCAGTTGAAAAACGCTGATCTAAACATAACAACAATAGAAACAAATCACAGATGAAAAGATGAGTAAGTGGAATCACAAAACATTAAATTTTTCTCTCTAATAAAAAAAATGGAGAAATTTACAATTTCAAAACCATTTATGAAAACATGCTACAGAAAGAATTGATATCCTAAATATAAAAAAGTAAATGTATTAATATCTATAATTGCTAGTAGATTAATAGGAAGGACCATAACAAAGTTCACAATATATAGGGAAATACAATTATAAGCAAGCATATTTCAATATACTTCACAATATAATATGTATTACAAAACCACTTTACCCAAGAATTTAATAATAATAATAAAAAAGTAAATACTATAAACAATGTTTTAAACCTTTCAAAATAGCAGAGGCATTTTTTTTTATAACATTATGCTGTACAGATAAGGCCATAATAATGAGGAGTATTTGTACTTTCCTAAGGAAGTAAAATATGCACAACAATTTCTGGAAAACAATTTTAGCACAATTACCATATGATACCATTTACACACTTTGAGTCATAAAGTTCAATTCTGGAATTAAATGATGAAGAAATTATTTTAAATGAGACTAAAACTTTATCTTAAAAATAGTTATTTGTCTTTTATAACAAAATAATAAAAAAGTAGAAAGAAACTAAGTGGTCAATATTATTTATATATTCATATACATCAATATTTACTATGCATGTAATATGCATATATTGAGATATATATATCTATATCTATAAATAACACTAATATATATGTGTGTGTGTATATATATGTGTGTGTGTGTATATATATATATACACACACACACACACACATATATTGTATTAGTGTTATTTATAGATATAAAGTCCTAAGTGTCTGTCCAACTGTCCAACCGTCTGACTCCTAGCTATGATGTGCGTTGACCACCAGGGGGCAGACACTCAATGCAGGAGCTACCATGATGTGCACTAGCAATTTAAAAATAAATGGCACCATGGAACTGGCACCACCAAACCAACACTTGGCTTCCCCCAAGTGGGACATGGCCCCACCACCACCCTGGAGCAATAGTCCACCAAATCGCAACCAATGCTGCCAAGACCCCATGGAGCAAAATTTGGCCCACAGCTCAGCCCACCCCAGAAACGGTGGTGTGGGCGCTGAGTAATGACATCAAGTATCCATGCCTGACTTCCCTCCCTAGTGACTAGGATCCTTAAAGTTTCTTCAGCTCAGGAACACAGCTTGTTTTATAGCCAGGTAGAAACATTTTACACTTTAACCAAATGTCTGTGAAGCATTTTTCCCATGCCACATCTCATTTGATCCTCACAGAAGTCCTTGAGTAGCTAGATAGGAGACTCAGTAGAATCCTATAAATTTTACCTCTATCTACTATCTTCTTTCAACAGTAGTTTCCATTTCTGTGAATCATAACTCTACCCTTGAGTTTAATTGAACTTTGCAGTGAATATTAATTCAACAGTTTCTCAAAACCCTCAAGCTATTTGCACTTTGTCTTTGATATTTATTTTCCCCCAAGTAGCACTAATGTCCACAATGGTCTTTCTTTTTTCTATTTGACCTCCTAGTTTATGAATGTTCTCTTTTATTATGGCAGATTGAGGTTGCAAGAGCATCTGTTTTTAATTAAAATCTGACATTTGCTTAAGGAATTTTACAAGGTGTGAACAAGTTACAGCCTCCGTATATATCTTTATACAGTAACTGGAGCTTTAAATTTATAATGTAGAATTTTATACTTTACCATATCTTAATAACAACATCTCTGTGAATAAAGCAGAACAGAGATTGTGTATATTTTTTTAAACATTTTTCTCAAAGTCTGATAGTTTTTGAAGAATAAATAAAGTATACGAAACTTTAGGTCTTTTAATTTCTAGTAAAAGAAAAATGATTCATTTTGTTTTATATTAGAACCTTCTCATACAGAAGCTAATCCAATGTATGCTGCTTACAGTTTGATGGTAGTATTCCTGCTCTTGACTCCATGCATTTATTTAAAACTACTTTTGTAAACTTAAATTCAAATAGTTAGTGCACTTTCCTCTGGAAGAGTAAACGGAACATTCCCTGGCGGATCTGCTTAGTCTTTACACTGTAGATGATGGGGTTCATCACAGGAGGTGCCAGCAGGTACATATTGGCCATGATCACATGGACCAGTGGAGACGCATGCTTGGCAAAGCGGTGGGTCATAGATACACCAACCATGGGAACATAGAGAACCAGAACAGCCAGAATGTGAGATAGACAGTTATTGAGGGCCCGGAGCCGCTCTGTCCATGTGGCTACTCCCAGGACGCTTTTCAGAATCATTGCATAGGAGAGCACAATGAGCAGAGGGTCCATCACAATAATGAGCAACACCAGAGCAAATCCATACCAGCTGTTGAAGCGGATGTCACCACAGACCAGGTGAATCATATCCTGGTGGAGGCAGTAGGAGTGAGAGAGAAGGTGTGAGTGGCAGAAGGGCAGGCGCTTGAGCAGGAAAAGGGAGGGAAGAACAGCCAGAACACAGCGGCAAATGATGGCTAACCCAATCTTGGCGATGACTTCATTGGTGAGGATGGTGGCATAATGGAGGGGGCGGCAGATGGCCACATAGCGGTCAAAGGACATGGCCAACAACACAGAAGATTCCATAAAGGAGAATCCATGGAGGAAGAAAAACTGGGCAAAGCAAGCTTCAAAGCTGATCTTATGAATATTGAACCAGAGGAGCTGCATAACAGTGGGCAGGGTGGTGAGGGTGAGACCCAGGTCAGTCAGGGCCAACATGGAGAGAAATAGGTACATGGGCTGGTGGAGGGATGGCTCTGTGCGGATGACATTGAGAATGGTGGTGTTGCCCATGATGGAGATGGTGTAGAGACAGCAGAAGGGGATGGAGATCCAGATGTGGGAAGCTTCAAATCCAGGGATGCCCGTGAGGATGAAGTAAAAGGGGCCTTTGGTGGTATTAGTTATCTCGGACATGATGGATGAATGCAAAACCAAAATCTGAGTTCTGAAATAAGAATTCCTTCAGTGTGATACAGCCGTAGATTCTTTATCTGTTCAATCCAGAATCCAGTTAGCCAGAGCACTAACACACAGAACTGAGGAATCTTCTGCAACTATATAGAAAATAGTAACACTTCCTTTCACCTGGAGTATTGGAGTAGAAGCAGATTTTGGGGAAAAGATCACAGATTCAGTTTGTACAATTGGATTTAATGGTCATAGCA